TAAACAATTATACACACAAGGGCCACAGAAGGAAATGGACATAGACCAATTTTTGAAGACAAATGGCCTACAAAAAATATCCCAAGAAAGTAAATTAATGCTGAACTATAAAATATCTGAACAGGAAGTAGAAGGTGCCATACAAAATATGCAACTGGGCAAATCTCCAGGACCGGATGGGTTGACTTCCAGATACTATAGATCTCTGAAAGAGTGGTTATTGCAACCTTTGAAGGAAGTCTGCAATGAAATATTGGAGGGGAAAAGGGCACCAGAATCGTGGAAAGAGGCGTATATTACACTTATACCGAAAACAGAGACTGAAAAGACTCAGCTTAAGAACTACCGCCCTATATCGTTACTTAATGTGGATTACAAAATTTTTGCAGACATTTTGGCCAAGAGATTGAAAAAGTATTGATGGAAGAGATTCATAAAGACCAAGCGGGCTTTCTCCGGGAAGACACTTGTCCGATAATTTGAGGAATATAATTGATATTTTGGAAAAACTAGAAGTGAACATAAACACTAAAGCAGTTTTGATATTTGTGGACGCGGAGAAAGCTTTTGATAATATCTCTTGGAGTTTTATGAAGAAGAACTTGCATGGGATGGGGGTAGGCCAAGGCTTTGAAAATGGTATAGGTGCAATATACTCTGAACAAAAGGCTAAATTAATTGTAAATAATGTGGTCACGGAAGAATTCAAGATAGAAAAAGGGACACGACAGGGGTGCCCAATTTCCCCACTGCTTTTTATATCGGTCCTGGAGGTTCTGCTAAATATGATTAGAAAGGACCGGTTGGTTAAGGGCATACAGGTCGGAGCTAAACAGTACAAACTGAGAGCATTTGCAGATGACCTAGTATTGACGCTACAGGAGCCAGAATCTAGCACTAAAAGAGTTTTAGAATTAATTCAAGAATTTGGTCAGGTGGCAGGTTTTAAATTGAACAAGCTAAAAACTAAGGTTTTAGAGAAAAATTTAACACCGATTGAAAGAGAGAGGTTTCAGAATGAGACAGGATTGAATGTGGTAAAGAAAGTGAAATACTTGGGGATTAATATGACAGCCAAAAATGGGAACTTATTTAAAGATAATTACGAAAAATGTTGGACGGAAGTGAAAAAAGATTTAGAAATTTGGTCAAATTTGAAACTCTCGCTGCTGGGCCGTATTGCTGTGATAAAGATGAATGTATTGCCTAGAATGTTGTTTTTGTTTCAGACATTACAAATTGTAGATAAGATGGACTGTTTCAAGAAGTGGCAGAGAGATATTTCTAGATTTGTCTGGCAGGGCAAGAAGCCCAGAATAAAATTTAAGATATTAACTGATGCCAAGGAAAGAGGTGGATTTGCCCTGCCAGACCTTAAACTTTATTATGAATCAGCAGCTTTTGCTGGCTGAAAGAATGGCTACTTCTGAAAACACAGACATTTTGGATCTAGAAGGTTTTAACAATGTATTTGGATGGCATGCATACTTATGGTATGATAAGGTCAAAGCACACAAAGCATTCAAAAACCATATTGTTAGGAAAGCATTGTTTAATGTTTGGATAAGATATAAAGATTTATTGGAAAATAAAACCCCAAGGTGGCTGTCACCAATGGAAGCAAAAGCTCTGAAAAGGCTCAATATGGAGGCCAAATGGCCGACATATTGGGAAATTTTGGAGCAAGAAGGAGATAAATTGAGATTGCAGAGTTTTGAAAAACTAAAAATAAAGTGAGAGATTGGCTTCATTACTATCAGATAATGGAGGCATATAATTTGGATAAGAAAATAGGCTTCCAGGTGGAAAAGTCAAAATTAGAAACAGAATTGTTAGAACCCAAAACTAAAAATTTGTCAAGAATGTATAACTTGCTGTTGAAATGGAATACTCAGGATGAAACGGTGAAATCTGCTATGATTAAATGGGCACAAGATGTTGGACATAATATTATGTTTGCTGACTGGGAACAGTTATGGACCACAGGTATGAAGTTTACGGCATGTAATGCCTTAAGAGAGAATATTATGAAAATGATATACAGGTGGTACATGACCCCAGTCAAGCTTGCAAAAATTTATCATTTGCCCGATAATAAATGTTGGAAATGTAAAGAAACTGAAGGTACATTCTTTCACCTTTGGTGGACGTGCCCAAAGATCAAGGCTTTCTGGGAAATGATATATAATGAACTGAAAAAGGTATTTAAATATACCTTTCTGAAGAAACCAGAGGCCTTTCTTTTGGGCATTGTCGGCCAACTGGTGCCAAAGAAGGACAGAACTTTTTTTATGTATGCCACAACAGCAGCAAGAATACTCATTGCAAAGTATTGGAAGACACAAGATCTACCCACTTTGGAAGAATGGCAGATGAAGGTGATTGACTACATGGAATTGGCGGAAATGACTGGCAGAATCCGAGACCAGGGAGAAGAGTCGGTGAAAGAAGATTGGAAGAAATTTAAAGACTATTTACAGAAATATTGCAAAATTAAGGAATTTTAGAAGGATGTTGGATAGAAACTAAGAGGTTTTTAGCTGTAATGCTTTAAGAGATATGAAAAAAAAGGTTAACAATTGGGTAAAAGTTTAATGGTAAGGATTTGCTGAACTAACAAACTGAACTGGAATACAAAGAAGGGAGGTATGAGGAGGTTCGGGGAAATAAGTGTAAGGAAGATAGGTCATGGAAAATTAATGTGTTTTTAACTGTTTTATTTTGTATGTTTTTCTTTATTTTATTTTTTTTCTCTTTTTTTACTTTTTTGTTGTATCTTAAAAACTTTATACTTTTTTCTTTATTCTGTATATTCATGTACTTTTTGAAACTTTAATAAATATTATTTAAAAAAAAAAAAAAAGAGGAGGCCTTCTCCAGAGCGGCTCTTTGCTTCTGGAAGCCCCTCCCAGGAAGTGGCCAGAGACCTCTTCCTCTCTCTCACGCTCTACCACTCTTTCAAATCGGAACCAGTGAAGGCGGTTTAGGTCCTGTGTGAGTGTCTGGAGGCGGTTGGAAGACGGATTGTGGCTAACAGATTGAGGTTGGATCCTGACAAGACAGAAGTACTGTTTTTGGGGGACAGCGGGGCGGGTAAGTATAGAAGACTCCCTGGTCCTGAATGGGATAACTGTACCTCTGAAGGACCAGGTGCGCAGCCTGGGAGTCATTTTGGACTCACAGCTGTCCATGGAGGCACAGGTCAATTCTGGGTCCAGGGCAGCTCTCTACCAGCTTTGTCTGGTATGCCGGATGAGATCCTACGTGCCTGCAGACTTTCTCAACTGGCTATTTTCTGCTTAGACTACTGCCATGCACTCTACGTGGGGCTACCTTTAAAGATTACCCAAAAACTACAACTAATCCAGAATGCAGCAGCTGGACTGTTGACTGGGAGTGGCCACCGAGACCATATAACACCTGAAAGACCTACATTGGCTCCCAGGATGTTTCCGAGCACAATTCAAAGTGTTGGTGCTGATCTTTAAAGCCCTAACCGGCCTCAAAGGCCCAGTATACCTGAAGGAGCATCTCCACCCCCATCATTCAGCCTGGACTCTGAGGCCCAGCACTGAGGGCCTTCTGGTGGTTCCCTCGCTACAAGAAGTGAAGTTACAGGGAACCAGGCAGAGGGTAGGGGTGCCCGCTCTGTGGAAAGCCCTCCCATCATATATCAAAGAAATAAACAACTATCTGACGTTTAGAAGACATCTGAAGGCAGTTTAGGGAAGCTTTTAATGATTGATGTTTTAATGTATTTTTAATATTCTATTGGGAGCTGCCCAGAGTGGCTGGGGAGGCCCGATCAGATGGGCGGGGTATAAGAAATAAATTATTAATATTAGTATCATTATTATTAAAGGGACACCGGATGCCTTGTTATACTTTCTTCAAAAGATGAATATTTTTGAATACTTTCCCAGTGACGTAAATAGCACTTCTGTTTTACTTATTCCGCACAGGAGAGAATCTGATCTGCAAGTCTGCACTCAACTCCTTCCTTGAAACAGAAAAATACAGAGACTTTGAGAGGTAAGTCCTTCCTCTTGCCTGGGAGACTGTATCTTTGTAGGTCTCGTTTCAGTTTGTGGGAACATGAGAAAAGTCCTGCTGGTTTAGGATCAGGGCCCACTTCGTCCAGCATCCTCTTCTCACAAGGACCAGCCAAGGAGAAACCCCCAGTCAGGCTCCAGCTGCTTTCCTTCTGAGTCTCCAGCTGTTTCCATGGAGGTCCAGATCCAAGATCATTCTCCTACCTGACCACTCATTCAGCCGACCACAATCACCTAGCCTGGTCACTCGTTCTCTGATAGGCCCATACCACAGTCCCTAGAAAAGACTCAGGCCTGGGTCTCCCAAATGGTCAGTATGGACCTCCCAAGGCCAAAGGGATGGTGCAGGTGATTAATAAATATCTGGAGGTCGAATGGAGTAAAACGTGGCCTGAGAGGTAGAGGATTATTATTCAGAATATGAAAATGTAATTGGGAACAATGAAGCTGGGAATTAGAGGGCAGGTTGATGGACAGAGAGCAGCTTCCTTCACTGTGATGAACCACTTTGTACAAAAAGGCAATCCCACAGTACAACCGTATTCTAAGATCATGCTGCTTCATTAAAGAAGATTGAGGGTCATGAAAGGTTGATGATGTATACTATCATTTTCATATTCTAAGCATGTGGAACATAGGGAAGACAAGGTGTAAAAATAAGAGAAGGTGCTAATTGAACTTGATGTGTGTCATGTTCCTTTGTTCTCTCCCTTGAAACCCCAATAGGATATTCTCTCCCTGCACTTTGAAGCAGACGATGGAGAAGACAGTCAAGAATTCTGGGTAGCCATTTGTAGTTTCAAAAGGAATAATGAAGAAAACATTGAAATGTTTAGAGTGTGGAATGTGCTCCAGTTAATGAGCATAATTCTTTCACATTAATTAACTGAAGCAGATAGTGTCAATTCAAACCAGCAGACTCACACAGGGGACAAACCATTTAAATGTATGGAGTCTGAAAAGAGCTTAAATAAAAATGGAAACCTCACAAAACGTCAACAAACTCGCACAGGGAAGAAACCATTTAAATGCATGGAGTGTGGAAAGAGCTTCAGTTGGAGTGGAGACCTTACAATTCATCAACGAACTCACACAGGAGAGAAACCATTTAAATGTTTGGAGTGTGGAAAGAGCTTCAGTCAGAGTGGAAACTTTAGAACACATGCACGAACTCACACAGGGATGAAACCATTTAAATGTATGGAGTGTGGAAAGAGCTACACTGCAAGTGGGGCACTTAGAACACATGTACGAACTCACACAGGGGAGAAACCATTTAAATGTATGCAGTGTGGGAAAACCTTCAAGGAAAGTGGACACTATAAACTACATCAGCGAACTCACACGGGGGAAAAACCATTTAAATGTTTGGAGTGTGGAAAAAGCTTCAGTCAGAATGGAAACTTTAGAAAACATCAACAAACTCACACAGGGGAGAAACCATTTAAATGTATGGAGTGCGAAAAAAGCTACAGTCAGAGTAGAGACCTTAAAAAACATCAACAAACTCACACAGGGGAGAAACCATTTAAATGTATGGAGTGTGGAAAGAGCTTCACTGATAGTTGCACACGTAAACGGCATCAACGAACTCACACAGGGGAAAGACCCTTTGAATGCATGGAGTGTGGAAAGAGCTTTTGTGTGATTGGAAACCTTAAAATTCATCAACGAACGCACACAGGGGAGAAACCATTTAAATGTATGGACTGTGGAAAGAGTTTTAGTGTGAATGGAAACCTTAAAAATCATCAACGAACTCACACAGGGGAGAAACCATTTAAATGTATAGAGTGTGGAAAGAGTTACACTGAAAGTGGGGCACTTAGAAGACATCTACGAACTCACACAGGGGAAAGGCCATTTAAATGTATGGAGTGTGGAAAGAGCTTCAATCGAAGTGGAACCCTTAGAATACATCAACAAACTCACACAGGGGTGAACCTTGAATCTGAAAATTTGAAAAGAAGTTAAATACCTGGGAATATGGATTACTCCAAAGAACATCAACCTATTTCAGGACACTTACGTTAAGACGTGGGCAGAGATTAAGAGAAATCTAGAGATATCCTCTTTTTTGGGGAGGATATCCACCATCAAAATGAATGTGCTACCAAAAATACTTTTTTTATTCCAGACAATCCCTGACTGCCTCAAAAACTGGCAGACATATTTCTAGGCATATCTGGCAGGGGAAGAGACCCAGAATTAAACATAAACTCTTAATTGACATTAAAGAAAGGGGGTTCTCCCTGCCGGATTTAAAACTATATTACGAGGTGGCCTGCCTTACCTGTATCCGGGATTGGTGCACATTACAACACTCAGACCTACTAGATCTGGAAGGCTATGACAACCGATATGGTTGGCATGCTTACCTAGGATACGATAAAGTAAAGATCCACAAAAACTTTCTAAATCATATTATTAAAAACCGTTTACATGGTCTGGGCAAAATATAAAGATCTTTTGGAACCTAAAACACCATGGTGGATATCCCCCATAGAATCATGTGCTATGAAAAAGAAAAATATGAAAGAAAATTGGCCGATATATAAAATATTACTAAAGGAGGAAGAGAACCAATTGAAACTTATATTTTTTGAAGAAATAAGAGAACATTTGGAGTAGAGATTATATGCAGTTGAAAATAAAACTTAACATATCAGGTCGGGGGAAGGGAAGTCACAGGGTTCAGAGTCTCCCATTGTTTTTGTGTACAAATTTGTTTGTCTGTGGTTGTAATTGTATTTGTTGTTGTGCTTTCTTCCTTTTTCCTTTTTGTTATTTTTCTTGAAAATTTAATTAAAATATTATAGAAAAAAGATAGGGCTTCCGTCAAAATGGACATTATAGACAGGGGAGAAACCATTTAAATGCATGGAATGTGGAAAAAGCTTAGCGGTTCATACAACACTTGAGCAACATCAACAAACTCACATGGGAGAAAATAATTAAATGTATGGCATATGTAAGAGAGCTTCAGTTCTAATGGAAACCTTACACAACATCAACAAACTCACATGGGGGAAACCATTTAAATGCATGGAGCGTGGAAAGAGCTTAAATGAATGCACACCCTTATTTACTTTAACAATCTCATGCATGGGAGAAACCATTTAGAGATGGAATGTAAACTGTATTTCCCTTTGAGTTCACTCTGTTCTTCACATCAGTGAATCTTATTTGAGGGAAATAAATCTTAACCACATGGATTTTATGCAATGTTGTGGTGTTGTGTTTAAACTTGTATTGACATGTATATAGAATCATAAAATCTTACGAGTTGGAAGGCACCCAAGCGTATTTTGGGCATCCTTGCCAGATGGTGACACTATATTTGTGCATCTAGTTCTTCCTGACTAAGTGCAGAACCTGACATTTGTCCCTATTGAAATCCTTGCATTTGTCCCTATTGAAATTCATTTTGTTAGCTTACAAAGTAAGGCAGGTAATGTCTTAAAATTATTAGAATACAAGATGCAATGTAATGTTAGGGAGGAGTGTGTGCATCTAGAGAGCTGATGGTGAGAAATAATAATAATAATAATTTTTATTTATACCCCGCCCTCCCCAGCCAGAGCAAGGCTCAGGGTGGCTAACAACAATAAAACAGTACACCAGTACAACACAACACAACACAGCACAACACTCTAAAATCATTCATTATAAAATTAATTCATATCAAACCGGTGGCAACCATTGGGCCGGAGCTCCGCAAAGATTGCCAAAGGAGGAAGTCAAGCCGTGACTTCTTACATGCAGACGGTAGTCTTGAAACCCTTGTATATAGTTTACCGTATTTTTCGCTCCATAGGACGCACCTTGTTTTCTGCTCAGCGCCCCTTCAGCGAAGCGGCAGGAGAAACAGAGCCCCTTCCATTTCTCCTCCCGCTTCGCTGAAGGGGTGCTGCGCAGAGAGGGAAAACTGTGCAGTGCCTCTCCAGCGAAGCGAAGCCTGGAGAGCGAGAGGGATCGGTGTACACCGACCCCTCTCGCTCTCCAGGCTTCAGGTGGCTATCCGCAAGCCTTCAGAGTGCAGCGGGAACTTCGCTCCATAAGACGCACACACATTTCCCCTTAATTTTTGAAGGGGAAAATGTGCATCTTATAGAGTATATTGTACGAATAATGCGGTACTGCACTTCCCCATTTTTGGCTACGTCAAGGGTGAAGTGTTGAAAGAAAACATGATCTCTGGGGGCATCAGGAATAAAGGACGTATTTAGGAAAGACTCAGCTCCCAGCTGCACATCTTGCATGAGGAGGGAAAGTGGCACAGCAGAGAGCGGGCACTGCCAGAACCTCCGGCAGCAATGTGCCCGGCGGTGGCACAGGTGTGTGTTAAATGCTTCACTGTAAGCTCATATCCAATTATTCCCCAAATAACAGACACAGGGGAGAAACCATACGGATGAGTGCAATGTGGACAGAGATTTAGGTATGTCCCAATCTTGGAAATCCACCTCTGGGCATTGAGGATGGAAATCCTCTCTCCACCTTTGCAACTGGACTTAAGGCATAGACAGGAAGCGTCCTTTGCACCTAATAGGGTCAAGGGGGGGTCCACGTATAAGGGGAGAGTTAACTCTTACCATGCCATCCATGGCACAAACACACCCACAGTCCTTCCTTCGTATTGTAATTGAATAATGGAAATAATTTTTCTAATCCTACTTCTGAGACGGGGAAGGAGGGGCTGCAGGTAGCAGGGAAGTCTCCTCGTGAGCCTACTTTCGCTCAGAGGCACCATGTGGGAGTCCCCATTTCCACTCTCCGCTGTGGGGAGAGAGGCGACTTGGGGGGAGGAGGGGGCCATTCTCCATCCTTGGGCGCTGGAGGAGGAATCTCCGGTGGTGGGTCTGCCTTGGCTTCTCCCTCCTGCCCAGGAATCTGCCACTCCTTCAAGTCGACCAGAGAGAGATGCCTGATAAGCGGGGGGGGGAGCTTCCACTGATTTCCCCCACCCTTTCCCCCCATTGAAGCTCAATCCTCTCCCCACTGATCCTCAAAAGCTACTGCATGGCTGGCTGTGGGCTGCATTATACCAAGTCAAACCGGTGGTCCACCTTGGAGAGGAGAAGAGAGAAAATGCTGGAAGGTCCTGAGAGGGAGGAGGGAGGAGGTAGTATTCCTCGTGGTAGTATCTCACTTTTTGCTATTCTTGGAGCTAAATCCCTTGAAATCCAGATATAATCTATTTTTCCCCAACTTTGATGTGGCTCAGAGAAGAAAGTAAATTGTTTTGTGATTGGGTGCTTAAGTCTCCAAATGTCTATTAGGTCAAGATTATCGACAAGATCAAAGAAAGTCCTTGGTATCTTGCCTTGCTTAAACTTTTTCTTTTTTCTTGATCTATCTACTTCTGGCATCACCACACCATTGCATCTCCCATTAGTATTATCTTTTGATCAATGGTTTCTATCAGTCTTTCTTCCAGCTTCCTGTAAAATTCCCCCTTATTTGTATTTGGTGCATAAATCCCAACCACATTGATTTTCTTCCCCTGGTAATTAATTTGGACTACAATTATTCTCTCTTCTTCATCCTTAAAAATTAATTTAGGCTTCCATTTCTCTTTAATATATAACACCACACCTCTTGTTAACATTTGAATTAATAAATTCCGTACCCAACCTTTTGTTTTTCAGAATATGTTTATGTTTTTTTAGCTACGTGGGTTTCTTGTAAACAAATTACATCAAGATTTTTTTTCTTCAAAACGTTTTCAACTTTATTTCTCTTAGATTTCTCATTTAATCCATTCACATTCCACGTTAACAGTTTCAAAGTAATTTTTACGTATTTAGTTCTCAGCTATGAATTATATTCAAATTCGGGTGGTTTTGTCCCCAAGGTTCACTTCCTCCTCCTCTTCCTCTTCCTCTTCGTCCTCTACTTCCTCCTCTTCTCCTTCCTCTTTTTCCTCCTCTTCCTCTCTTTCTTTTTTCTTCTTCCTTCTTTCTTCCTCTAAGTCAATCTCCTTTCCCCCAGGTCTGTGAACAGCTCTATCTCCTTCCAACTTTCCCAACTCTCTCTCATATCTTCTTGAGAATTTATTTACTTCTTGAAAATCAGTTAGCCTAAATCTTTTATCTTTATAATAAAAAGAAATCTCCTTGGGGAATTCCCACCTATGTTGTATTCCATTTGTCTTCAACAAACTCACTAATGGTTTGTATCCGACCCTCTTTCGTAAAAATCTAGTGGGAATTTCTTTAAAGATGATAATTGGCCTACCATCGATTACCAATTTATTTTGGTAACTCATTCTCAAGATTGCGTCTCTCATATCTAATGAATTAAAAATCATTAGACAGTCGCCTGGTAGTTTTTTTTATTTAGCCTTTAAAGATCTTAATTTTATTCTAAATATGTTCTCAACTGTATATTCAGTTTCTTCTTCTTTCATATCCATCGATCTTGCCAATTCCTTGATCATTTTTATCTTTATATTTTCATTCATTTCCTCACCTATGCCTCTAAATTTCAAATTAAGTTGTTTCTGACGCATCTCCAATAGAGCTAAACTGTCCCAGACCTGCTCCTGTGTTTTATTTAAATCTACTACTTCTTGATTTTCTCCATCTCTCTCTTATTTTCTTTGACTTCTTTTTGAAGCCTTTTCGTTGATTCCTCAATCGTCTTGGATCTAACTGTCAAATTTTTAATTTTATTTGAAAGTTCTCCTACCACTCCCTCTATTTTCTTATCCAACGTTTCCTGTACTTCTCCTAATTTTTTCTCCATATATTGTTCATTTTGTTTAAATTCTTCCTTTATTTTTAACCACAAAATATCCAAATCCTTGATCTCTTCCTGTCTGGAAATTTTCCTTTCTCCTGGTTCCCCCCCATTTTTTCCCCCATTTCCCCCTGCCATTTTAGATTAATTACTGCAGTAAAATATTCTGTCCACCGGGGGGGGGTAGATGATTCAACCTGTGATGTGGTCTAGGGAACAGACCCTCCCTT